TTATTATTCACCATTTCACTCGGCACCTATTATCTACAGGAATGTTTATTACATTATCATATACAGAAATTTAGTAAATGTATAATTGCATATAAATTGATAAATAATATTTAATGTACGGTAGTTCTATCATACTATTTTAGACTGCGATAGAAGGTTTTGGCAGTGCCACGATTGGCATTGAAATTGATTACAAGTCGTATTCAATACATTGCTGCCCGATAATACAATCAAATATAATAAACAGTTAAGTACGTGACAATTTATTAAAATACAGGCAATGAGGAAGTCTGTAATATGAATTTCCATTTATATACATAACGTAAATTACACTGCATATTACAATTCTATTTAATTCTATGTAATTGAAAATTAAAATTTCCGTCAAAACAAACTATTTGATCATATCCTATTAAGATAATATTATAATTTAAAAGTTATAAGATTTTATCATTCAAAAAACAATATATCATTATTTTATTTGCCATAATTATGCAAAAACTTTTATTAATCATTGAATTACACCGTTTAAAATTTATTTTTATCAATAATCCATGTATAGAATACAAATTTTTTTCCCAATCATGAATCATATATTATATTTTTTATGCTAAAATCTCTAGTAATTTCAATATTATCTATAAATTCATGTTAAAATATCATTTATGAGTTTACAATAAATGTCACCTATACCATCATATAATTTCTTATCGAACAACGTTGAAAATATCATATTAATGCGTATTATGTGAAACTATTTTAATCGATGTTCTTTAATAAATAGCCTCGAAATAATTCATATAAATCATGATATTTTGACCTTAATTTATTATTTTTTCAAAATTTAATTATTACCAGTTTAAATTATATTTACAATTCAATGCATTGATTATAAATTTAAATTACGTCTTAATAAAACAGTATTAAACACTCTAAACTTATTTCAATTCGAGTTCTATACTAAAGTAAATTTTATAAAAAGTGAAGAAAAAAAAAAGATTATTGTATAATAAATAAAACGTTTTTCTATAAATATACGACCCATATTAGTCGTACATGTATTCATATTTATCTTTCCTACTTCCCTTGTTTCTGCACATGCGTGCACGGGCGCACGTACGCAGCTACGCGACCGACACGCGCGCGCGCAGGCATCGGTATGCTCATACTTATATATCGATATACAAATATGTAAACGCAAACACGCATACGCACCCACGCCTGCTGTACGTATCTACATACACGTATCCGTGGATCAACAATCGAAGACATATTGACGCAAGGCAGGTACAGCCGCGTAGGCCCAATCAAGGGTAAATAATGCGCGTGTATTGGTCGATTCCGTAAATGCTGATTCCCTCGGTATCGCAAGTAATTCGCGAGAGGAGGGGAGGGGGGGGGGCTTGGAACATTCAACCAAAAACGCATTAAATATCGACATTGCATTTACGAACGAAAGCGCGAGATGTGATCTCGTGCATACATAAGAAGACGCTCTTGGCACGACTCCTTTCGTACGTAACCTTATCGAGCTGAGACGAAGGATGAAAAGAGCGAGCTCACTTTCCCTCACTATTCTCCCTACATGCATATGTGAGGAAACTGGCTACACACTCGCTCGCGCCAATACACCGTGTCCGCCCCCATCCATGACTCCCATCGCCGCACTCGCATTTCCAAGCGAGGATTCTCCCAGCAGCCAAGACGAAAATCTCCTCATAGACCACCCATGTCTATTATATAAGTACCCAGTGGGCGCGATACGACCGAAAGAGAACGCGAGGTAAAAATCCCCTTTTCCTCGTTTTAGAAGAAGGTCTTTCAGACAACAAACACCTGGCATTAACCTGTCCCCTCCCCCTCCCGCGCCCTCGTCGCCCTCGACGTGCAGTCGGATCTTCGTCTCCCTTTCGTTTCTTCAGGGCCCCTCGGCGACTGTTTATTTAGCATTAGTAAGATGCGACTTCAAGTGTAGAGAATATAAGAAAATAGGAAAATCGTGTGGTGTCGAGTGGGACGCGGTTGTGTGCGCGTGCGCCCACGGGAATCTTAGACTAAGCAAAGATAAAGCGAAAATTTGAGGGAAAAATGGCCGCTTACGAGGGACCGAGATAACGCTGAGTCATTTGTAGATTTCGTGGAAAATTGGGAAATAAGTTATCGCGTGCGCTTTCGTGTCAGGTGGATTCGTAGGTAAATAGTAGCGGCCTGCCGCCGGAAGGAGAGGCACATCCACTTGAAGCGATTAAGGTTCATTTAAAGAAATTCGTACATAGCGTTAATGCAAGTGTGACTAACGAACGAGAGCCTTTCTTATCTTTGACTGGATTAATATTTATTTGTGAGCGTAATTTTTTATCGTCGACGTGTAATTAGAGAAATAGCAAATGTGCAAACTAATTTTTATGAATTAGCATTTGCATTTCACGGGGAGCTAATTGCATTAAAGGTATGTTAGGATGGAATGATTGTGGTACGTTCCAATGTCTTAATAAATATCAACGAAAGTGGAATTTATATTTTTGTAGAAAAATAATACAAGAATAGAGCGATTCAGTGCATGTTGAATAAAAATCACAATAGCCATTCGATTTAAACTGAAAAACTAATGTTTTATACACGATTAGTAAAAGTTACTTTTTCAAATCATAGAATCAATTAGCAAATGAATTAAGGAATTTAAGCGAGTGAGGAATTGAAAGTTATATAATGTTGAAAGAAGAGGAGAGCACGAGAATCGGAGAGAACGGTATAAATATTAAGTGTAGGGGTTGAAGATGAAAAAGAGCTTTCTTAATCTATTGTGAGGAGAACAATAACGATATTTACTCGTGTGGCAAACCTCGGTATCGATATACGAAAGTAGATTTGCACTGTGTATGTGTTTGCCACAAATAAACATTATCCGTCTATTAGAGTTTATGAATATCGTCGGTTGAGGCATTAATGAGAATCAAACACCCAAGTCCAAGCGATTGGAAAACCACATTTGATCGGAATCTGCTTTATCGATGCATCGACAAAAATAAAAGTCTCGATGCTATTCTTAAGTGTGCTATTCCGTAATGAGTAGAGTGGATTGTTCGCCATAAAGATTGTTCATTTTTACGATTTTGCAAATAATATTCAATTACTGTCATTTTCACCAACAGCTTACATAAAGTAAATAACAATTACAGCTCGGTACATATTTATTTTGCATCTATAATATCGTGAACATATCCGAAGCAAATATTATTTAATTTTAATCGTGATTTAATGTAAAGAGAAATTGTTATATTCGTTTAATCTACAAACCTACTATTATATGCTACTGGAATAATATCTTTCCATGTAAAATACACAAATTTTAACTTTTAATAATTTCATAACAATACTTTATTTTAACTCCATTCCATCATTCGATTAATTATTTCGAAATTAATATATCGTCAATAATTGCATTGCATGATTATCATCATAAATTAAAATAACGATAATAGTTTAATAACAAAATCGTTAAAAAAAAAAAAAAAAAAAAAAAGCAAAAAAAAAAAAAAAAAAGAAAAACTTCCTCAATTGCTTAATGAAAAACTTTATGTACTAACTATAGTTAAAATCATTTACTCTTCGCAATGTGGTTTTCGTAATAATAATAGTAGTTATTAATCACTATTGCGTTAGTTAGCCTTTATACTTTCGGATGCAGATAATAACTCGACAGTATGTAAAATAATTAGTGAAATAATTCTCAAACGAATGATTGTAATGATGGTAAACGAAATGAAATATGAGATAAGGAGCGGTCGATCTCGCGTAATTTGTCTCGTCAGAAAACCGGTAAATCAACACTATCGTTGCGAATTTGTACATTAGAAGTTCAAGGAGTGTATGGAACACTTGTCGTATTAAGATTAGTGAAACCCCATGCACATGAAGAACGGCCAAACTATTCGCATTAAAAAGTAAGTGTAAAAATTAAGTAGACGGCACTGTAAATCACACAAGGAGCGTAAATTTACGCAAAACCCGAACGCGCGCACGATAGTGTGGGGGCGCAGTTGTAAGTGATCCGTTTTCTCTTCACGCCTGTCCGAATCGATTTCTCAGTGGGGCCGGGGAACGAAAGCCGAGGCACGAGGCAACATCGCCGAGCCCGAGCCCTGGACCCCTTGGCATAATAATCGACTGGCTTCCCATTATGATCGAGCCTCTTCTGTCTCCTCGCGTGACCGATTTTCGCCCACTCTACCTCCTTCCCTCACCACCCATCCACAACCCCCTCCCACTATACCACTTTCTCGCTATATAGCTCCCTCGCTCTATCATCGCCTGTGTATGCGTGATTTGTACACTGCGTGATTTAGCTCTGACAATGACAGCCTATGAATCGCTCTTGACATACAGCCTGCGCTCTGGGCTTTTAGATCTTTCAACTAGCTTTCTCTTTTTCTCTTGTTCCTTCTTTTTTCTTTTCTTCTCTTTTTATGCTTGCCTATGTAATGACTTACTCCATATTAAGGCCGCGTATGATTTAATGTACCCTTCGAACGCACATTTAGGTACATTCTCATTTATATTTCATATGTTTAAGTTACAAAAAAAATTACGATCCTCTTTTTCATTCGTTCTTTCTTTCTTTCTTTCTTTCTTTCTTTCTTTCTTTGTCATAGTTATTTGTTTTACCTTATTATTAGATTGGATTTATTCGTTCACGTTCACTCATCTGCTCGATAAACAAAGTCTTTAAATACTGGATGGTCATAGTACCATATTACTTCGCAGAAAAAAATTTTCACTATTTTAATCGGGTTTACTTATTGTCTCGTCGTTGTTTTGGCATTTAAGGACATTTTATATAAATGAACTGATCTATCAGAGAGAGAGAGAGAGAGAGAGAGAGAGAGAGAGAGAGAGAAAGCTCGTTCGCGCTCTTCCTATTATACAAACGGCCGAGTATTATTCTCTTCGGGTGCTTAAATTAATTTTGACGATGTCGATGAGAACGTGAAGACTCACGTGCGGAAACGCTCGCGGAAACGCTCGTCCTGTTGCAGGTCTGGTTCAAGAATCGGCGGGCCAAGTGGCGCAAACAGAAACGCGAGGAGCAGGAGAGGCTGCGCAAACTGCAGATCGAGCAGCGTTCCCGGGGCGGCTCCGTGGAGGCAGTGGGCGTCAATAGTCTGCCCCATCTCGTCCCCGGCCGGCAGCAGAAGCAGCAGAACCATCATCAGCACCATCATCACCACCACCACCACCATCATATCGAACAGGACACGGACAGCTCGGACCTCGAGGTCGCGTAGTCTACACGGTATGGACGACGGGAGGCTCCCATGTGGTGCTGAGGGGACTCGGTCGGAGCTTTTTTCAGTCTGTGCGCTCGATTGACCTCGTCGTAGCTTGGCTATGCTGACCGAGGCTGGGAGGCTTTGAGATCCGCGATGGGTGCCGCTCCAGTCGTACTTCCCCGACACTGACACGTGCCTCCTCGGCTCCTCGTCTAATTCTCAGGCGGTTATTCCTATTGGCTGTCCGTCAATCGAACGAAATCATTTGTAATTACTGTATGTATTATTACGACTCCTTGGTTATTTAGACTCGTTCAACGTGGGCGATTTACTTGAATTTATTAGGATAATTAATAATAACTGTATAGCGTTGCCGATGTTTCAAATATTTCGTATTCGTATCATTTGAGCATTCAAATGCCTAAACTGGATAAATAGCGTTGGCGAAAGTATGTTTTAAGGTTGTTGACAAGTTTTTATCTTAACTGATAGATAATTAATAATGTAATTTCGCTTCGTAATATTATGGTGGCCATTGGATTTGTGAAGCCAAATGAAATCATGGATCCTTTTTTTAAGCAACATCGAATGTTTCTTTTTATCAGTTCCAGTACATCTTAAAGTATTTCATTGAGGGAAATTTTTTACCATGCCAACTTGCCGATATAAAATTTTGTGGTAGAAGTAAAATTGATTTTATTTAATGTGCAAGTTCGTTTAAGGAAGCCTTTATACGGAAAATTTAGCAAGTATTTCCAATCAAAATTGGAATATCATACCATTACATGTTTGATAATAATTGATGATACAAGCATTATGTTTTATAAAAACTTTGTATATTACGAATTTAAATAGAAATAAATAAATAAATAAATAAATAATAAGAATACAAAAATAATGTATAACAACAACAACAACAACAACAACAGCAACAACAGCAACAACAACAATAATAGTAATAACAATAGTAATAACAATAGTAATAACAATAGTATTAACAATAATAATAGTAATAATAGTAATAATAGTAATAATAGTAATAATAACAATAACAATAACAACAATAATAATAATAATAATAATAATAATAATAATAATAATAATAATAATAATAATAATAATAATAATAATAATAGTTGAGATTTGAAAACTTGTTGCTTCTCGGGAATATACGTATGATTTTAATAATCTATATAGTAACATTTATAAAAAAAATTCCTTTTTTTTGTTTCGTTTTTATTTATTTATTTTTCTTGTCTTTTTTTTTTTTTATTGTCTTTTTTTTTATTTTTTTTTATTTTAAATTAAACGTTTGTCAAGCGGTTTCGATTTACGGCATTTTTAAGGGCAAATGTGCGTAGTGTTTTGATGCTAGTTATGCTGTTCCCTCTGCATGAATATGATCTCTTGTTTATAATAAAAGAATAGAAAGTTGTAGGATTAGTACGAGCACAGCGAAAGAAATTCGTTAAATTCGACAATCGGCCATTTTTGCAAAAATTATGGAAAGAACATGTTTTCAACCTGTATTAAGCGACAACGTTTATTTTAGACTAATTAAGTATATCAAAGATGCAATATGCTGTTTGTACTATATAAGTTGTTTTTGTACTATATAATAACTACAAGGATTGCGAAACTGTTGAATTAAAGATTTTTATCGATGTGCAATTTTCGTTCGATCGAGTCATCCTGACCATGTAAATACGAATTAGATTGTAAATAATTTTTGTAAATACAATCGATGCTGAATGTGTATAAAAGAGTAAGTTATAGCGCGCGTGAGCTACTACCACACACGTGGTGTTGATTTTCTTATGGAACCAGTGGAGAATTATTTGAAAAAGGTGTATGAAGCAAGATCAGTGAAAAGTACAGCTTCTCTTTCAAGTATATTTCAATGAAAAAGATGTATTTAATAAATCGAACCAAATTCCACAATGACTTTATTTATCAAATACCCATGTCTTACTTGCACTTACCTCTCCATCCATCAGCAAACATCCAACAATTTCGCTTAAATAATCATATATTGCGTAGCATATCCGATAATGTCAATGAAAATTTATCCACCATTTCCAGTGGTAACTGCTCTTATGGAACGACACTCGGCACTTTCGTGTCAATATTCTGGATTTCCTAAGCTGCCATCTTGGCATTGGACGCACCGAGCGTGGAACTCGACAGCGGGATTTTCAAAGACGACAAAGCACTGGGCCGCCACCTGGTGAAATGGTGAAAGCAATCCAAATCCCCCCGAAAGTGACATTAACCTGGCTACTTCCCACGAGTCACCGAGTGAGATCGGGCCTCCTGGCTCCTCCAGCATCTCAAATCCTACGTCGAGCCAAGCCTGGCCCATCGTCCCGCTAATAGCTAAAGCGCAAAAGACGGGCGCTCATCCACCTTCGGGCACGGGACAGTCTGCGCTCGACTAGCCACGACAACCCCTTCGTCCGGGGCTTAGACCCGCGAGGGCATCCATGGAGTCGAGAGCCGGAGATCCTCGTGGGCGTCGGCACGCGCGCGCCCACCCGTCAAGAGCATAACGGAGCCCCCCGGAGCTCGAGCTTCCGGCTTTGGCGGCATTCGGTCCTCGTCCCGCCAAAGTGGATTACGCATTTGCCGCCAGAAGTCATTGTCGCTCAATGAGGTGCGAGGGGCCGCGGCTAATTTCCTTAAGGGCCAAAGAGGCTCGCGTACCTGCGACGAAGACGCGAGCGTTTAGCGGCCGAACAAAGGACGCTCTGCTTCCTTTTTGAATTGCCTCGAGTACGCGCTTCCTCCCATACCCCTCCACCTCATCATCCTCTAACATCACCGCCACCTCCTACCGCTAATATCCTTGCACTTTTTAATAGAACCGAGGGGCTTTTCGTCTTAGCTCGTGAGCGGTGGCTACCGAACCTACCCCGCAAGCACTTCAGATTTTGCCCTTAAACGACGCTTGCCGCGTTCTCACTTCTCTTCCCTACCGAATCCCAAGCCCAACTACGGATCATCGCTTCCTATTGTTTGCCAATGGATTATGCGAAAGCCATTGGCAGCGCAACGGTCATTATTACTTTACTTATGTATAATCAGTACTCTCTTTGACAATTTACTTGCTGGCTTTACCGGCCTATTAAGTGAGTGAGACGGTCAAATGTTAATCTAAGGCTCATTATGCGCCAATTGGATAAAAGCACATAGTCAATATACCTAAATCTGGTGGAGAAAAAATTAATTTTTTTACATAACGGATGATTATAGATAGTCCAAGTAAATTTCGCATTCTACATTGTGACAACATTTTATTATAAATCAGTGGAGTACAGCGAAAAAATTTATTAACTCAATTTTAAATGGACTATGTCGAATTGGTTTTCTGACCCTATAATTACATAATTACATCATAATTTATCCGAGCACGATGATTCCGCGGCCAATTATATTCTAATATTAGTCCCGCCTAATTCAATAAAATTACATGTTGAATAATGCTGTACGAACACGAATTGTTCTGCGCTTATGTACAACGTATCATTTGACCAATGAGATTCATAAGTAGTGGGAGGTGCAATGAACTGTTCGATTACGATAAACGATCGTCCTTAAATTGCGAGCTTAAATTTAAATTGCGAGCTTAAATTGCAAATCTTCTACCTCGGACGGAAATCACTCGACAGCGCAAAAATCTTGCGGATCCAGGACAACGGTGACTATCCTCTTTTCTAACTACTTTCTGGTCGCGACGAGTCGCCGAAAGTCAACGCCCGACTAATCCTCCTTCGGCAGCACGCAAATGGTTTTTATCTTGTCCTTGTTCTCGTCCAGCGAGAATGGCGACTTTCCGCCTCGTTTGCTCAATCTCCTCCTCTCTTTATCACCGGGGCAAGCGGGCTTGGGCTTAATGGCCCCGTAATTGCAGTTGACCTTGTTGCCGATCTCCCACCTCGAGCACTCGTCCATCTTGCTCGTGTCGACGACGTTGACGATCTCGATGGGCCGCAGTGAGAAGGGGCTGCACTCGACCGAGCCGATGACGAGGACGAGGCTGCTGACGAGGTCCCGGAAGCAAGCCGCCCTCAGAAGATAGGCCTTACCGTTACCGCACTTGAATACCGGCGGACCCCTGCTATACGCGTCGAAGATGTAGTACGCACCGCAGTGCTTGAACACCCCGAGGTTCGTGTCCTCGCAGTCGAGGATGACGAAGTTATGCCGCTGAAAGAGCAGCTCGAGCAAGTGCCACAGGCACTGGTTCATGTTGCTGTATAATCGGCCGCGTTTCGGCATCAGTACGTTCACGTCAAAGAGGATGGCGCCGATCTGGAACTGATCCGTCGGCATCTCCTTCCACGCATCCTCGTCGTTACTGTTGTCTTCGTCGTCATCGTCATCGACATTTTTATGTCTCTTGGCTAGTTTCGATATTTGCTCTCGTCGTTTGCCGTAGAATCTGAAAGCCAAAAAAATATGCTCGATGTCGATACGCTTAGCGCCCGATCAAACTCGATCATCTTGCACTCGTGCACTCGTGCACTCGTAGAACGTGCTCTTTCCGAAGAATTGGGACATTTATTTATTCTACGTATTGTGGGACGCCGATTGGTCGAGTTAAGGCAATGCGAACGTATTAGCTGACGATAATGATGGGATGACTAACCGAATTATCAATATATGAGAATTATCAATGAGTGTGATGAAAAAAGATTAAAATTGCACAAATTTACGTGCATTAACAATAGTAAAGGCCAATATACCAACTCGAAGCTCACCCATTGTGATAATCATTTATACAACAATGAGTTTGTTAAAATAAAAATTTCCAATCTCTGCAAGGTACACCAGACGATTTAATAACGCATTTATCTTTAGCTGCTCGCTCGTCTAATTCGCTATTAAAAGGAACTTAATTCTATAAAATCGATAGATCGCTATAAACGATGCTTACCTATCACCCCAAATTAAAATGGCCTTTAAGGAATCAGCGGACCAGTACTCCGGAGCGTTTATCAAGCTCATTCCGGCACAGACGACGTAACAAGCCCTCGACTGCTTATTACGATTTTCCGAATCAAACAGTTCATCCGTAATGTGGATGTTACTCCAAAGTACGTAAAGCCGACGAGGTTCGAGCACTTCAAATTCATGCCACTTGCGCTTTTTGCACGCACTTTTCGAACCCGTGACATTCAGCCAAACAATCTTCATATCTTGGAGCCATCGTGGCTTTTCAATTTTATCAACAAACTAAATAATAAAATGTAATTTTAGGAATAATACTTGAGCTTTGGAAAATATTTCAATTTTAGTTCGATCTATTATCAAACGGTAATGACGAAATTTTTAAATTCATCGATAGATAATAACAAACTTATTGACTTTTATTTGAATAATATGAGCAAAGGGGGCAGATATATATATATATATATATATATATATATATATGTACAAGGCTCTCGAATAATACAGAATTTGCATAAAAATTAACATTAAATGATGTGAAATTTTGAACGTGAAATTAAAATCTATCGAAATTTACTTTTTCATTAAATTTTTACCTCTTGTGCTCGCTGATCGATGCTCGACTCTAATGAATTATCACAGGGTTTGGACGACAATTCTTTATAAGGTTCGAATAAGCACGCGTCACTTTTCTTTTTCTCCACGAAATGGGGTTTCGGCTTATCCGGTCCACGTAAGTATAGCTTGATATTATAAATTTTACAAGAATGATAAATCAATTGGTAAATTTGAACCGAGAAGTAATTGTATTCCCGCGCGCACATGTCCAAGTCTTCCAATTTATAAGCGTAAGCTCGTACAATTAAAATCATTATATGCCTTTTGAGAGCATCTTTTGTGCAAAATTTCATTATGCTCGCATAGCCGTCATCGCTCCATAATCCATATTTATCGCAACAATAGGAATTATAAAGATACCAAAACAAGCCGTCCTGCCAAAAAGCCACCGAGAACCTCGTTGTCCTTAAATTCATTGTAATTCCATTAAGTCACCACTCTATTATAAAGATTGTTCAACATATCGAAATATATGTTCTTCCATATGAAATTTTTCCATATGAAATTTATAATTATTAATGACAATGATAAAAATATGAATTTCATAAAGCAATATTAATTATTCTTTTTGATAAATCTCCACGTTTATATAGAAACGCACATATTTACCGACAGAGCAGTGTAATAACAAAGCAAACTTTTTCAAGTCCACGTGTAAAAAAAAAAATAATAATAAATCAATAAATAAATAAATAAATAATAAAAACAAAAGCAAAAAATAGAGAAAACCAAGTAGCTTACTTTAGGATACAATTGGTATAGTGATCATCCAATTTATCAAACCACTGTTCGAGCCTTCTAGTATGTTTATGCACCGGCACTTTGAGATTATCCTTAATGGTTTCGCTGCCAAATTTACACTTCATTAAGGTCGTTTTATGCCTTTGAATTATTTCCTTCTTCACTAACGATTCCTCAAAGTAATCAAACGTTACATCTCGGATAATGGGGATGTCTTTGATCTCGTGAACTAATTGGATTTCCACGTCGTACATATAATTATAAACGAGAATATCATCGAATCTCTGATTTGGCTTGGTATTGAGGTAACCGGTATAAACAAACATCTTCCAAGCATGATCGTAAATATAATCGATGTTTGCACTCCAAACATACTTATACCTAAGAGAATATCGTTGGGTAATCGATTTTATTTCATTATTATAGATTTCAAAGATAATATGGCAATTAACATAAAATTCTTAAATATTATTATTATTATTATTATTATTATTATTATTATTATTATTATTGTTGTTGATTATTGATTATTATTATTATTATTATTGATTATTGATTATTGATTATTGATTATTGGGTTATTGATTATTATTATTATTATTATTAGTATTATTATTATATAACGAACGATTGAATTTCGCGTAATTATGAAAAAAAAAAAAAAGAAAGAAAGAAAGAAAAACAACAAATTATTTCGCAGCTTATGCAATAACAAAATTACTCTATGCCCGACCTATTTCATTATTAATTATTTAACAACATTCATCTGATTGAATGAAAAATTATCGTCACTATGTAATATCGAGTACGGAGTGAATTATCAATTCCACCGACAAATAATTCTTATTGCTCAAATTTCTCCAAGTGCGATAAGTATTATTTACCTCAGCTGCGTCTTCACCAGCAAGGCAACGATATTTTGAAATAAGCAAAATTTCCAAGTTCTCGCGCGGACTCGTTGTAACTCTTCCAAATGCATCCCAACCATTCCTCGCAAGCAGAGATTAGCATAAGACCGATTCATCTCGCCGCAATCTAATTCGTAAACTATACAATCACCGTCGACCAAGGCGATGCGTTCGCCGCAGGCCCGATCGATCATTACCGGATCATACGATGTTACACGAGTAGTTGGTATTCTTGCGTGGATCAGCTCCTTCTTATGCGCCAATTCTTCCAATTTTTCGTCCTCGCTGGATTCTAATCAAGCATGGCAATGGACAATGGGTAGGAAACGTTAATGTAAGCATAAGAAGTCGAATTCTAATTGAAAATTACACCGCCCCCCCCCCCATTGATTCATTATCATTCGGTACATTTGAATATTAATATATTACATGAGCGTAGGATTATTATTGATATTATGAAACATTAAAATATTTATATTTCAAGTCTCACGTAAGTCTACTCGCTATGGAAATCTCAATGAACGATGCTAAAACATATTATTAGTACTAAAGTAGTTGTTTTGCAGAGAGAAACATTGAGAATAATTATGAGAAATAAGCTATGAAATAAATTAAATAAATAGGATTTCAATTATTAATTTAAGAAATAATAGAAAAATTCCTTATAATACTCAATATCGATCCTATGTAATAATAATTATAATATGTGCTATAACGATTTGTTCCAACCAGGTGATTGGATTGCCTCAATTTCACACGGTGTAGCTCCAATCTTTTTCATCTTTAATTTCCGTTCTTGAATCTTCTTTTCTTTCACCACGTCGCGTACTAAACATGGTGCAATTTTCGGCCACTCGAAAGGCGGAGGATGTGGAGTGCAATCATTGTACTGCAATACAACTACAATTCAGTAAAAAACAATTAAAGGACATACGTTTGTTGATTTAGATAAGACTTGCAAATGATTAGTAAAGGCTGGCCTTTACTAATATAGCCTTCTTACAATCCTTAGATATAATAAAATGTTCGATAAAAATAAATAGCAATGGATTTGTTTGTTTATTAAGTATTTTTATATCAAATAACTGATAAGTCACTAATGAATTATAAAAAAGTAATTCTTACCGAGCATAACAATGTTAATGAAATTTATTATATTATGAATATAAATTATTAGTATTGATTTTTTCTAGATGATACTCTAGATACTCCAAAATTTCCTTTTTTTTTTCTTCTTCGTGTAATACGAGATTTTATTTATAAATACTGAATAGTTAAAATGGAAAAGAAACGTTTTAAAAAATTTACGTATAATACAATTTGTAGAAAACTGATTAGTTAAACGTAAAATGGAAAATCCATTCGTTACCCAGGAATCGATAGTCATTTTTATTTTAATGAAATGGAGCTTTCTGCCACTTTAAAAATATTTCTTTAGGAAACAAAAAATTTGTTATTTAAAAGAACGGTATAATTGAATGGAAAATGTGTTTAGTAAAGTAGGGGGTAAGACGCATAGATATCAAACCTTGTGAAAACCACGTATGTCATCCCATATTCTCGTTCTTGGCATTCTGCTTTCGGAATACCGCTTACCCTTTTCATTAAGTAAATTCAACTTAAGACATTTCGACATTGCCGGTATTTCCATTTGGGACAGCGATAATGAATTCTTGTCTTTTTGCATCATGTGATAAAACTCGCCATATGTTTCCCTTTCATCATCTGCCCTTCTTTTTGCCTCGTCGATAAATCTATAAAATTTCCATCGAATCCAGAATCCATAATTTCGTAAATATCGAACGAAAAAAATTTAATTTTAATATTAACACAATATATTTATGCAATTGTTGTAAAGACCATTGTAGTCGTAATGCAGACATATTCGTACATAAATATGCTATTATAATTAAATTAATTAAGATATTATAATTAAATTCGTTATTCCAATACGTGCTACACATAATCCAAATACTGAGACTTTTACACTCGCAGGCCATTGTTGTTATGAAAAGATTTTATAATATTTAGATTTCTATAATAATTTAATCGTATATAATTTTAATTTAAAGAATTTCAGCAAAACGAGTAAACAAAAATTATACTCGTAATATGGGATAATTTAATATTTTAGAAAAACAGTATTTTTCAATTCAGGAATTCCCTATAGAATAATTTTAACAGAGATATTTTTTACGGTTTCTTTTCAATTGAATAATTTAAAAATATTTTTAAATGATAATATAATATTTTTAAAAAGTAAACATTTTAAATAGAATTTCAAGTGTTTCAAATGAATGTTTACACGAAGTATGAAAATACATGGTAAGAGTGAGTGAGCCAGTAAAGTATTTAATAATAAAGTGCGTTATGATGAATTTTTTGAGTTTTTGTATAAAGAATTAAGAATTTTATCAACCGTGTAACTTTATTCTTAATATTTTTCTGTTTTATAAATAGACTCTATTTATATATAAATTTTTCTTTCAACTGAAGCATATATATAATTAAATGTAATAATTAATAGAATGGTAATAAAGGTAAGAATGTTTATTGCTTCACTAATATATTTATGCACAAAAAATAACTAGTATATAATACTATGTTATAAATAATTTATATAAATAAATATTATGTTTAAATAAATGACTTAAATTAATTTGAATTCTTCGAATAGTTGTAAATTTTCATTCAAAGAAAGAAGAAAGAGAAAAGCTATTTTGACTATACGTGCTTCCTAACGTAACCTAACCAATACCTTGTATTTATATCCAAACATAATCATTTAATAATTACATTATTAAACAAATATTATTCCATTTACTTTTTCATATATATCTGCCATAGTGGTTTCTTCTTACAAATCCACTTTGGTGGCTTTACGAAGATTTTGGGTTTGGAATAATTACATTCATCGCAATCGTAGTCTTCGCTACTAAAATATTCTTGATCCTCTTCTTCAAAACTCATTGTGCGCTAATTTTTCTTCAAAGATATTTATCGAGTAATAAGTGAGCTTTTGAACTTAAATTTTCACTTTAAAATTTGAAATTAAAATTGTAACTGAAAATGTTTACATTTTTTATTTTTTGTTATTGTTGTTGTTGGTAAGATCCAAAGTTTATATTTTTTAGGTTACCGAAATGTTTTAAATATAAAACAAATGACTTTTATACCCTAGTTTTTATAAAAATTAAATTAAAAATTATATAATGTAATAATTACAAAAAATTAATTATAATATTATTTTCAATTTACCATTATGAGTTTCGTAATCACAATAATCTTGTGGTTTATTTTGCAATTAAATATTTAAAACGTACTTACACCATACGAATATTAATTCTGAAGGTAAGTGAATATATATATATATATATATATATATATATATATATATATATATTGTTATTGTAATTGTAAGATGAGGTTGCTACTTAGTAGCGTTACTGAATTATTAGTTTCGTTCATTTTGACGGTGAAAGCTTAAGAAAATTTCTCTAGGCCGGGCTGCAAAACATCGAATGTCTCACGTATAAAAGAGCGATGAGTGCTCAGGAGGTGTCTGATGTACGGGAAGAGTTGGGTCGGTGGGTGGCAGACAACGTCGGCGGTGACCGGGGTACGGCGACCGGTGAATGAAGAAGGGGCGCCGGGGCAGGGTAGGAGGAGGAGGTGGAGGAGGTGGAGGAGGTGGAGGAGGTGGAGGAGAAAAGTACAGACCGTGGAGCTGTCGTTGCGGGGTGCCTTGCGATTTTCTAATTATTTTCCAGTGGTTAGGTAGTGAGCGAAGCCGTAAATGTCCAGGCAATCTCGGCTCCACGAGCGAAGCCCCCGAGTGACGCAAGATTTTCAAAGTGTTTATAAAATTACAGCGATTCACGATGGAAATAATGTGAAGCCCCATTCGTGAGCGAGCGAGCGAGCGAGAGAGTGAAAGAGAGAGAGAGAGAGAGAGAGAGAGAGAGAGCATGACCGAGAAAAGGATAGAGAAGGTCGTTTTTTGTTCTCCCTCCCCAGCACTCTGGGCATTCAAATCATTATTGGATTTGGGAATCCAGTTAGTGCACGCGGCGTTGATAAAATCAAGAGGGCCTGTTCTTCTGACGCTCAAATCATGAAATTTGGGGTGTGTATTCGAATTAGCTGTAAGCATGTTGTTCCGCACAATTTTGAACGAGAGCGTAAGTTAATATAGTATGGTGATTGAGACATTGTAGTTTTTAAACGCATAGTAATCTCCTTTCTCTTCTTGTCTTTTCTATTTGGAAACTAAGTAGAGAGTTCGGATACAATTAGACAGTGAGTTTAACGTAATAATGTAGTGGTTAGACATTCGGAAGTATTTATTGGTTTCTGGTCGATTTCAAATGAATTCTATTTAATGCCATTGTAATGATTTATTAAGATAAGATACATAAATTACCAACATTAATGCACTTAGAGTCCCCTCGTTATTTAAAAATGAATACATTTCTATATTCTAACCTTTAACGTGATTATCAAAGTATTATTGTTATTTATAATAAGGGAATCAATTTGAAATATCACGAAAATTAAGGGAATTAATTAACATTTATCAAATTTAGTAAGAAATATTTATTTCAACAATTTATCATATATAATATATTGGCGAAAAAAATTATATTTCCGTTTATTACATATGATCTTATTACTTGTTTTTTTTTTTTTTTTTTTTTTTTTTTTTTTAATGATATTAGATAACTCGTTTTATTGATGAACCGAAAACAAAATCATGATTTTTTATTGAAATAGAAATAGAATATTTCTTTTCATACTTCATTCAATATTTCGTTAAAATAGTGAAGACATAATAAATACTATTTGGATCGTTGATTATACTAAACTAGTCGATATAATAATTGTATTTTTATATTAAGACGTATTCAATGCGTTAAAAAAATATCTATAAGGAGAAAGTTTAAGAAATTTATTCTAGTTATAAACTACAATTTCATTTTTTCAATGGAATTCAGATTAGAAACGAATTACCTATATTTAGTATATATTATTTCATTATATGACAATAACAATTTTAAATCATAGAATGTCAAAGTAAAATCAAAATTATTCCCTTTTGTTTAAAAAATTTCTATCTACCAAACTCTTCAAGAAGTTTGATAAGTATGAGCCTTTACGATTTAATAGAAATAATTCATTAATTGTCGCTTGTCAACATGAACGTCTAACTATACTCTTAAGTTTAAGGAAGCAAATACTTTTACACATTTCCCAATAAATAATATTTCTTGAGCAGTAATGGATAAATTTATTTAAAAGCTTCATTGGAATACGTTTTACAAAATGCAAATATAATTACAAAATACACATACACATTATATAATATAGTGTTAATTGCGAAATTTTTGTAAATCCTATAATACCCCCCATAATGTTACATTATTATATTTTATTATATATAATATATTATTATAAATTATAATAAAGCTTACAGCAACAAATTACAACAATAAATTATAGTGAGCAATTACAAAATAAAACAAACTTTATTATTATTATTATTATTATTATTATTATTATTATATAACAAGTAGATACGTGTAGTAGAAGAAGATAGTATTATCGTTAAATTAATATTATATCGAGTGATATGACTACGTTCGTAATAGGAGCATTTTCCAAGACCTCTGGCTCTCGGAAATTTATAATCCTCCTAGTTCTCGAATTTTTATAAACACTTGATTCCCGAAATTCTCGAAACTTCCAAAGTTATATTCTCAAACGTTCTGCAATGTTTTCCGCATAGCAACAGCTATGCATTGTTGCCAGCTAACTTAGCTGCCGCGTGGATATTTAAAGCAAGCAAATCACGAGACGAGTCAGTCGGTTTTCAATCATTGACGCAGTCAGTCATGCTATTCATCCATCAGGGGCTACTGAGACAGTAAACTACTCATCACACACTCTCAAGGTACCGCCACCGTAGAGGGAAGACGCGTCAATTGTCCTGCGCTGCAAGATAAAGGTGTTGACACTATCTCCTTCGTATCAAGAAAATGACAGAGTACAATCAACATAACATCGCATACTCATATCAAGGAGTATGCACGATTCATAGCTGATCCTTGTAAACTCAGCGACAACATCGTCACCATCAACAAGTAGTATTCGCGATGGTAAACCATTCACCACAGGATCAGGTCAAGGCTGCTGTATGTCTGTGAGTATAACACATCAGTATCAGTTCGTAGCAACTAAATCGTCGCGATTGAATATAGTGTTATACCCTTCCATCACATAAATCCAACACATCTATGATACTGTAATTGTAATTAAACCATATTTAATGAAGAAGCGCAAACAAGCATTAAACTAAATCCCTTCCACTAATGTCATTCCCAAGCATCCGCTAGGATGGACGGTAAATTATTATAAATCTATCGAAATATTGACAGTCGGAGCCAGAAAATCAAGCATTTCCGAACATTTGGTCCTTCGAGCCGGATCGTGGAAGGTAGTGCATCGCACCAGTACCGTGCACACGCGCTACTTCGAAAATTCAACGGTTACATTTTCATCACTGCATACTATGCAACAGGTCGCAATAACATAAGGAGCATCCGGATATTTATAACCTCTGCCATCTTTCTGCAGTGCGAGCCAACAATATCATGGCATCGAAGGATAACATGAAAGGTAAGGACACTAAAAATCCTAGAAAATCCAGAATTCAGGAGAGTGCCGAACCAACAGATTTACCCGATGATCTTAAGGAAAAGGCAAAAACTCAATGGTTTCGCATCGCATTAATGAAGGAATTGGCTAAGGAATATGAGTCATCAGAATGCGACATCTCACTAGATAAACTTAATGATGCATTGTCACAAGTCGAGGAGCTGCACAAGGTCTGTCACAAGGATCATGCGCACATGCGCGTACTTTATGAAGAATGTCCGTGAAAAAAGGAATTCGTAGAATACAAGAGGACACGAAAAATTATCACTAAACTTCGCCAAGCCTCCAAGAGAGAATTCCCAAGTTTTTAGGAAAGCAAGAGGACTGGAACGAGTTTCGCGATCTCTTCAATTCATTGATTATAGACAACGATAACATTAACGAGCTCGTAAAGCTCTATCACCTCTGTGTCGCAATACAAGGTCCAGCAGTGCATTGAATTTATGAACTCTCACTGACAAAAGAATCTCTTGTCACAGCTTGGGAGCTGCTAACAGCGCATTACGACAGCAAACTGTTAAAAATCGAAGCATGTTTCAGCCTTTCGAGCCTTCACCAATTTAAACCCAATTACTGGAGGCACAGCCGATTTGAAAAAACTCATCAACATCACCGGACAAGCAATGAAACAGCTAAAGGCATTGGGAGTCATTGAAGAGCTCGGGAGTTACATCTCTGTATACCTGGTCTCTGAACGGCTCGATTATGTCGTATCTCTAACGTCTCGGCTGAGGATGCTAAAACAGATTGAGTCAATAGCAGATGAACCTAGAGTCGCAATAAGGCACAATTCTCATAGTCATAGTGAAAAATCCTCAGGTAATTAAATCATCTGGATAATGCGAGTCACTTGCGCGCAAATGCTCCTCCAAAAAAACATCACGTTACAATGTGTAAAAAAAAAACACAAAATTCAAGATAATGTCAGTGTTAGAGGGACACTATCTGACAAATAACTACGGACTCTGCTTCACGAAGAAAACAACAAAGCAGAATCCACTCAAGCCAGTAGTTGAAACCCCGTCATCCAGATGGGATTGATGATGCAACCATCGACATACATGTTCATTCCACCATATCATTGCTTGCCACTGCCATGGCCATAAAACGGTCGAAAACTACTAACGCACAAGTTCGTCTCCTCATTGACCTCTCAGGCTCTGAGCTTTGATTTCGCGTTCGAGAACCGCATCAAACAACTCTACATTCCTAGAAAAAGTTCAATCCTTCATATTCAACAAAAACCGTATGATTAC